GCAGCAGCTTCCATCAGCGACTGCGGTGTCTCCCAGAGCCCAGGCCCTTCTCCCGTGTTTCTCTCCTGAACGCAGGAAGCAATCTCCGACGGACTCTGTGTTTTCCTCTGCAGGTGGGAGGGGACACCAGGTCCATAAATCCTGGCCAACCTCCGTCACCGAAGCTGACAGCAGCCTGGATTCAAGCGCAGGTAGGGGCCGTGAAGAGCCCGGGGCAGGGAGTCCTTCCGCTGCTGTCAGCCAGCCCAAACCCAGAGCGTCGGAGTCAGGCGCGACCTGGCTCTTCTTTTTGTTATCTGCCTTGTAATCACACTGTGTTGTAAATAACTGCTCTGATCCCAGTCTCCAGCAGGGTGGGATGGGACGGGATGGGATGGGACGGGATGGGACGGGACGGGACAGGGGACCACTGAACCTTCCCGCTGCTCCGGCTGCAGCCCCCGGCGAGGCTCTCTGTGGGCACACACAGCCCCTGACAGCTCCCAGTTTCGAGCCTCCCCCAGCCACACAGGGCACGCGGCTGCTCGCTGTGGGACTCAGCCACGAGCGTCAGAGCGCTTGGGAGAGAAACGGCTTTGCCGATCATCTCACCGGCTTGTGGGTTTTCTCCTGACAGGTGAATTCAGCCACAAACTCCAGCGGCTGTCTTCCAACGGCACCATGTCCTCCAGCGAGGAGCTGGAGGAGAAGGAGGAAAATGCCACCCCCTTCGAGCAGGGTACGTGAGAGGGCTCCTGCCCCACCGGGGCAAAGCTCCCTGCAGGTTGACTTTCCCCGAATTCGGTAGCTCTGGAGGTAAACGGAATGATTGCTGGGAGGGTACCTGATGGCGACGCACTGATTGCTGGGAGGGTACCTGATGGCGACCCACGAGGAGCCCGACAGCATTGCCTTTACCAGGGGCTGAGCTCGGCCAGTTCGTTAATGCACACCCACCAGTTCGTTAACGCACACCCACCAGTTCGTTAATGCACACCCACCAGTTCGTTAATGCACACCCACCAGTTCGTTAACGCACACCCACCAGTTCGTTAATGCACACCCACCAGTTCGTTAACGCACACCCACCAGTTCGTTAATGCACACCCACCAGTTCGTTAATGCACACCCACCAGTTCGTTAACGCACACCCACCAGTTCGTTAATGCACACCCACCAGTTCGTTAACGCACACCCACCAGTTCGTTAATGCACACCCACCAGTTCGTTAATGCACACCCACCAGTTCGTTAACGCACACCCACCAGTTCGTTAATGCACACCCACCAGTTCGTTAACGCACACCCACCAGTTCGTTAATGCACACCCACCAGTTCGTTAATGCACACCCACCAGTTCGTTAACGCACACCCACCAGTTCGTTAATGCACACCCACCAGTTCGTTAACGCACACCCACCAGTTCGTTAATGCACACCCACCAGTTCGTTAATGCACACCCACCAGTTCGTTAACGCACACCCACCAGTTCGTTAATGCACACCCACCAGTTCGTTAACGCACACCCACCAGTTCGTTAATGCACACCCACCAGTTCGTTAATGCACACCCACCAGTTCGTTAACGCACACCCACCAGTTCGTTAATGCACACCCACCAGTTCGTTAACGCACACCCACCAGTTCGTTAATGCACACCCACCAGTTCGTTAATGCACACCCACCAGTTCGTTAACGCACACCCACCAGTTCGTTAATGCACACCCACCAGTTCGTTAACGCACACCCACCAGTTCGTTAATGCACACCCACCAGTTCGTTAATGCACACCCACCAGTTCGTTAACGCACACCCACCAGTTCGTTAATGCACACCCACCAGTTCGTTAACGCACACCCACCAGTTCGTTAATGCACACCCACCAGTTCGTTAATGCACACCCACCAGTTCGTTAACGCACACCCACCAGTTCGTTAATGCACACCCACCAGTTCGTTAACGCACACCCACCAGTTCGTTAATGCACACCCACCAGTTCGTTAATGCACACCCACCAGTTCGTTAACGCACACCCACCAGTTCGTTAATGCACACCCACCAGTTCGTTAACGCACACCCACCAGTTCGTTAATGCACACCCACCAGTTCGTTAATGCACACCCACCAGTTCGTTAACGCACACCCACCAGTTCGTTAATGCACACCCACCAGTTCGTTAACGCACACCCACCAGTTCGTTAATGCACACCCACCAGTTCGTTAATGCACACCCACCAGTTCGTTAACGCACACCCACCAGTTCGTTAATGCACACCCACCAGTTCGTTAACGCACACCCACCAGTTCGTTAATGCACACCCACCAGTTCGTTAATGCACACCCACCAGTTCGTTAACGCACACCCACCAGTTCGTTAATGCACACCCACCAGTTCGTTAACGCACACCCACCAGTTCGTTAATGCACACCCACCAGTTCGTTAATGCACACCCACCAGTTCGTTAACGCACACCCACCAGTTCGTTAATGCACACCCACCAGTTCGTTAACGCACACCCACCAGTTCGTTAATGCACACCCACCAGTTCGTTAATGCACACCCACCAGTTCGTTAACGCACACCCACCAGTTCGTTAATGCACACCCACCAGTTCGTTAACGCACACCCACCAGTTCGTTAATGCACACCCACCAGTTCGTTAATGCACACCCACCAGTTCGTTAACGCACACCCACCAGTTCGTTAATGCACACCCACCAGTTCGTTAACGCACACCCACCAGTTCGTTAATGCACACCCACCAGTTCGTTAATGCACACCCACCAGTTCGTTAACGCACACCCACCAGTTCGTTAATGCACACCCACCAGTTCGTTAACGCACACCCACCAGTTCGTTAATGCACACCCACCAGTTCGTTAATGCACACCCACCAGTTCGTTAACGCACACCCACCAGTTCGTTAATGCACACCCACCAGTTCGTTAACGCACACCCACCAGTTCGTTAATGCACACCCACCAGTTCGTTAATGCACACCCACCAGTTCGTTAACGCACACCCACCAGTTCGTTAATGCACACCCACCAGTTCGTTAACGCACACCCACCAGTTCGTTAATGCACACCCACCAGTTCGTTAATGCACACCCACCAGTTCGTTAACGCACACCCACCAGTTCGTTAATGCACACCCACCAGTTCGTTAACGCACACCCACCAGTTCGTTAATGCACACCCACCAGTTCGTTAATGCACACCCACCAGTTCGTTAACGCACACCCACCAGTTCGTTAATGCACACCCACCAGTTCGTTAACGCACACCCACCAGTTCGTTAATGCACACCCACCAGTTCGTTAATGCACACCCACCAGTTCGTTAACGCACACCCACCAGTTCGTTAATGCACACCCACCAGTTCGTTAACGCACACCCACCAGTTCGTTAATGCACACCCACCAGTTCGTTAATGCACACCCACCAGTTCGTTAACGCACACCCACCAGTTCGTTAATGCACACCCACCAGTTCGTTAACGCACACCCACCAGTTCGTTAATGCACACCCACCAGTTCGTTAATGCACACCCACCAGTTCGTTAACGCACACCCACCAGTTCGTTAATGCACACCCACCAGTTCGTTAACGCACACCCACCAGTTCGTTAATGCACACCCACCAGTTCGTTAATGCACACCCACCAGTTCGTTAACGCACACCCACCAGTTCGTTAATGCACACCCACCAGTTCGTTAACGCACACCCACCAGTTCGTTAATGCACACCCACCAGTTCGTTAATGCACACCCACCAGTTCGTTAACGCACACCCACCAGTTCGTTAATGCACACCCACCAGTTCGTTAACGCACACCCACCAGTTCGTTAATGCACACCCACCAGTTCGTTAATGCACACCCACCAGTTCGTTAACGCACACCCACCAGTTCGTTAATGCACACCCACCAGTTCGTTAACGCACACCCACCAGTTCGTTAATGCACACCCACCAGTTCGTTAACGCACACCCACCAGTTCGTTAATGCACACCCACCAGTTCGTTAACGCACACCCACCAGTTCGTTAATGCAGACCCACCAGTTCGTTAACGCACACCCACCAGTTCGTTAACGCACGGCACTGGCTGCTTCCTACAACCTTCAGAGCAGGAGCTTCCACCTAAGCACATCCCCACCCCTGCTGCAGGCTGTGCCCGGCCTTCTCCACCCCGGAACAATCCGCCCTGTCCTCCTCCATCCCTGTCCCCTTTCCAGCCGCCTCGAGCTGCCGCCGTGCCCACCCCAGGGCTCTGCTAGGGAGAAGCGGGAACCCCTTACCCGTGGCCTGGAGGTTCCCGACGAGCAGAGCGCCCGCGGGGCGGCCAAACGCGGCTTTTTGCTTGAACTTCACAGGTACTAATTACCTAGGACAAACGAGGCTGGATTTATGTGCTCCAGGCGGCGGATGAATAAGCCTTACCTCTGGGCAGCGTGCCTCGGCAGCACCGGGGCTGGTTCCGTGCTGTGGGCAGGTCCCAGGTCTCCTCAGCTGGGTGGCACGGGGCAGGTCTGGGGCTCGGGGAGGGTGAGGTGCCCCCGGAGCGGGAGGCACGGCTCTCCAGCGCCCGGCGCTCCTGTTCTTGCGTGCAGCTGCCGGAGCCCATCATGCCCTTCCGCATCTACAACGAGCTGATGGGCCTGGCCAAGGAGAGCTTGCAGGGCGGTGAGGCCAAGGGCAAGAGCGGGAAGGGGAGCCCTGAGCTGGTGGACAAAGGAGCCGACACGGACAAGGTGGTGGTGAACCTGGTGCTGAAGCTGAAGGAGCTGCTGCAGGAGCTTCCCTGGGAGAACATGGCCACGCTCCAGTACCTCCTGCAGCACCTGAGAAGGTGAGGAGGGCAGGTCCAGAGCCCGGGCGGGTGCTGGGGCACCTTCCCTGGCGTCCCTGGAGCGAGAGGTGGGCGCAGCCTCCCCATGGACCCTCTCACGCGTTCTTCCTCCTCCTCCTCCTCCCCAGGATCGTGGAAGTGGAACAGGACAACAAGATGACCTCAAGCAACCTGGGCATCGTCTTTGGGCCAACACTGATGCGCCCCAGGCCCACGGACGCCACCATTTCCTTGTCCTCGCTGGTGGATTACCCCCACCAAGCTCGCATCATCGAGGCGCTCATCATCTTCTACTCGACCATCTTTGAGACCAAGGAGAGCGCGGTGCTGGGCGACTCCGGCAAATACGGCACAGGCGGCCAGGAGGAGGCAGCCGGCTGCCCGGACCTGGTAGGAGTCTCGGGGAGGGAGCAGCCTCGGGGCGCGGAGCCAGGACGGACCCTGCCTCTGCTGGCAACCCACCCCA